TCTTAAGTCATCGTGTCAGTTTGGAAAAAAGACTCACGTAAGTGTAGGAAATCAAGTTATATCTTCCCTAAGTACTGCTTTCATGCTACTTTGCCATGTGTTCCATGGCCTCTAAAGGGACAAGTGGTAGAACTATAATGGAAACAAAAACTTGAATACAAATTTAAAATGCAGTGATAATATTATGTAAGCATAATAAATTACGAAGGCACAAATAGCCTAGAAACAATATTTTAAGGAAATAAAGGTTGGTTTGCTTGTTGTTGTTTTTGCTGCCTTCCTTTAAGTTTTGATTTTTTAAATGTCAGGTATTTTTGTACAATGCCCTTTTAAGAGGAATATTTTTCTTTGGTACAGTAAAATCACCATGAGTACTATTGTAAGCATAGACTTAGTACAGCAGAGTATTGTCAGAGCATTTTTTAAACCACATCTGATTTCTCTGTGATTGTTTTCGTCCCTATTTGGCTTCAAAAAATATATTCTCATTAACCTATAGATATTTAAGGATATTTAGAGGAATGTTGAGACCATCTTTGCTGTCTACTTTTGCACAGAGTGGCTGTCAGTTTATATAGAATCAATACCAGGAGTTGTTTTATTGAGGGTTTTTTTTTCTAAATGATCTTTTACCTATAAAATTTGTGAGTTGAAATACTCTGCCACATTCGCCTCACTTCCTCAGAGACTGAAATAATTATGTGTTGAGAAAAATCTAAAATAAATATTTAAAATGTCACATAACTACAAAATATTATAAAAAATACTACAAACTCTTGTATTTGATTTGATATTTCTAAGAATCCTTGTCAGTCCTCAGATCTCAGAGGGAAGACTCTTCAAACCTATAATTTATCTTATATGCTAATTCTCTAACTTCTTGATATTTGGCTTCTCTGGTCACATTTGCACTGGGACTGCTTAAGCGATAAATTTCTGTTTAAATGAAAAATAAAACCTGCACATACTCTCTGAATTGTTAGCAGTTGGTGGTGTGGGGAAGTCCTGTTTGGTGTGAGCTTATTTCCATGAGAAAATAGACTGAGCCTTGTGTCATTTAAAATTATTGCATTTGAACAACTAATGACTGTATGCAAGATATTGAAATATTTAAAAACATTTGAATATTTAAGTAACATTTAAAATATTTTAAAGTGTTGATCTCAGGTGGGAAAAGGAAAGTTCTGATGAATGGCAGATCACCCTTGATAACATAAAAGTGGATAAAAATTAACATTTAAAGCCCTCGCAGAATTTAGTCTTTCATCTGGGATTAACCTGGCAATTTGTTCTTGTCTGTATGTAAATACAAAATTCACTAGACTTGTGAAAATTTTTTAGGAAGTTTCAAACTAATTTTACTGATAAATTGGTCTAAAAGAAAGATTATGGAAATATCAATGGCACTGGCGGTATCTTAGGTGTTTGGAGGAAAGAAGAGAGTTGACGTTCTGTTTATACTACTCTAAAGCAGGTGACAGTCCCCTTTGTGGTCATGGTGTAAGAGAAGTACAATGGCAGTTTGGCCAACTGTGCCAGCACGTGGTTTCTAATTGCAAGTGTGGTTTACTATAATAGCCCAACAATTATGCAATTACAGGTGGATTCACTCAGTCAGGAAACTGTGTGTGTGAGTGTCGCTGTGGTCATTGGCACCGGCCCAGGCTGTCCCCAGAGTAGAACTGCAAACATAATAGAGAGAGAGAATGGCTGAATTCTTACGCAGCAACGGATTTAGCATCAAGGCTTTCATTTTTCATTCATCAACTCACTCAGTCTCCCCTCTGTCACCTAGGGCGTTACTCGATTTGTGTGTTTTTTTGTTTATTTTTGTTCTCAGGAGACAAACAGACGATTCTTAAATGGTTCAGGTCCAAAGCAGAATTTTTTTTTAATTCTCATCTGAGGATATGTTTTTATTGATTTTAGACAGAGTGGGAGGGAGGAAGAGAGAGAGACATCAGTGTGAGAAAGAAACATCAATTGGTTGCCCTCCCGTGAGCGCCACAGGCGGGGATCAAACCTGCAGCCTTTTGGTGTGTGGGATGACACTCCAGCCAACTGAGCCACACAGCCAGGGCAGAGCAGAATTTTTATGGAGAGCCGAGGAATTGGGTATGTGGGTTGAGAGAAAATGAGAGCTAGGATATGTGTCTATAGCTACAGAGGTGAATTTGAGATGGAAACTTAACTTTCTATGTTGGTAATAGCCCTTTTATATTTCACAACATTTAAATTGTTCAAATTGAGCCCTTCAGCATAAAGCCTCAGTGGAAAAAAAAAGCCATACACTTAGTTCCTCCCTGGGTTTTCCTCTCGTTTAAGGAAGGCAGCTGGACAGTAGTGTACATGAAATAAATAAGGATTTCACTTCTTTACTCTGGCTTGGCTTCAAAATCAGTTCATTGTACCTTTCTCTCCGCCTGTTGCACTATGGCCAACATGAGCAGGTAAAGCAGGTTGGGAGCCATACGCAGAAGAACTTGCATGTCTCCCTTAAATTAGGGTAGGCTTCACTAGTGGGAAGAATGCGATTTACCATTCTTTTTTTTTTAATCCTCACGTGAGGGCCAGGGACAAGTCTGCCAGGTGGAGGGAAAGTTCCAGGTTTCCCACTCTCCCTCTGTTGACACCTTTTGGTGGAAATGGGGGGGGTGGTAACTCCTTGTTATTGTTGGGCACGGTGAGATTTTCGGATCGCCACGTGGCCTCCACTGACACCGCAGTGGGTGGGAATGGTCTTGTTCCCCGTGGGCAGTGGCTTGATACCACCCCGGTATTGGGAGGAGGGAGAAAGAGAGACACCTCGTTACTGCCAGGCCTGGTTGGAAGTCCAGGCTCCCCTTAGGTTCGTGAGGGTAGCAGTCTAGTCGCCCCACTCAGCCCTTGTGGCCACGGATGGTCATCGTTTGTTCCGTGGTGATCGGCTGCAGGAGCGCAGTTACTGTTTAAAAGCTGCCCGGCCGGGCGTGGCTCAGCGGTTGAGCATCGACCTAGGATCCAGGCGAACAGGGTTCGATTCCCGGTCAGGGCACATGCCCGGGTTGCGGGCTCGATCAATGACTCTCTCTCATCATTGATGTTTCTCTCTCTCTCTCTCCCTCTCCTTTCCTCTCTCTGAGATCAATAAAGATATAAAAAAATAAAAATAAATAAATAAGTAAATAAAATTTAAAAGCTTTCTGTGTTGCCAGGCTGTTCCTCTCCCACCCCTTTGGCTTTTGTTGAGGCCTTTTTGGCCTGTGACCATTGGCGTTTCGAAGTTGGTGACCTTCAACTACAAGCCTGGTATATATGCGACAAAAAAGAAAACCCAGGGCTCTTACCTCCATGTTGTCTTGGGTCCTGAGGTCCCGCCTGGTCTTTTTTTTCACCTTGCGTCTTCTGAGGTTGGTTTCATATATAACACCCAGGGTTTTTTAACTACATTTAGCAGGAGGAAGAAGAAATAATAAGTCTGCTCCATCTCCCTGCAAGCAGAGGCCCTTGCCGCTCCATTTTTGTTTTCCTTTTCCCAATATTTGTTAGGAAAGTTTGGAAAATGAAACAGTTTTACAGTCAACCGCCACATATCCACCACCTAGATTCAACACAACATTTTGCTATATTTTGCTTTATTGTTTACGGGGTGGGGCAAATGTAGGCTTACAATTGTTCATATGGAAAATGATACAATAATTAATTAATGGCACAAGAAGAGACTGTGTTTCATGTCCTCTCAACTGTAAGCCTAGGATTCCCCACCCTGTATTTATCTGTCCATTCCATCTGTCCCTTCATTTACTCTTTTTAGTGGACATCAGTACACTTCACCCCTAAACACATCAGCATAATATTAGTAATTGGACTTCACTACTTAACGGGTTTTTTAAAGGTAAATTTTACATAAAGCAAAGTGCACATAATTGTAGTAGTAAGAGTCATAGGTCAGAGTAATCATAATTACCATTTGATGGGTTTTGTATAACCCATCCCTTATTGAGATCATTTCCATCAGCCTAAGAAGTTCTTCACGCCTCTTCTCAATTCTTACTGCCCCTCACTCCCAAGAAGCAATTACTGTTCTGCTGTTCTTTCTTTCTTCTTTTTTGTTGTTTCTTTTCGGGGAGGTGGTGATAAATTTATTTTGTCTCTTTTAGAACTTCATATAAATAGAACAACACAGTATGCACATTTTTGCATGTCGCTTTATTTTCCAGCACAATGTTTTTGAGATGCATTCATGTTGTTGTATGTGTATCAAGGGCTCTTTTTTTTTTTTTAACTGCAAAGTGCTATTTCCCCACAGAAATAACACTGTATTTATACAATATGGGCTGCCTCCAGTTTTTTGCCATTAAAATTTGATAGTTGGGGTAATTTAAGTCATCACTATCTTCCGTCTGCTTTGAACATAGTGTGAGGTGACGTAGGTTTTGTGCCTTCTCATCAATAACGTGACCAAGGCACATAAAGGTATGTTCTGTCACACGCGGTACCCACATTCTGCTCATGTTTCTTGTCATTGGTGATAGCTATCGTTTATTCGAGGCTGAAAACTTTTTTGTAATAGAAGCAAAAGAGAGTTTTAGCATTGTGGAAGTTAGAATTTAGCTTCTTGGCACTAAATTTTAATGTGTGAAGGAGAAACCATAGCTGTAATATTCATTACTGAGAACGCCAAACTGGCCTATGGGGAAACATCCTATTTCACAAATACTTAGAATACTCTGCTTCTGCACAAAATATCGATGTCATTGCTGCACATGGATTCAGCTGTTTCAAAGACCCATACTTGTCTGTCCCTACCTATTAAGGAAGCCTCTTGCTTCTTGGCTGTTTCCACAAAACCATTAAGGGGACTGTAATTTCTGATTCATTTACACTGATTGATACCAGGGGAGTTGTACCAGCTGGGAAGCAGGCAAGATAAGCTGCATCTGAGATTCCAGGTAAGGGGAGCATGGGGCTGTTAGTGCCAGAAGCAGTCGACGGTGTTGTCTCAAACTGGCGCACAGCTTTCCTCTGACCTTCCTTTTCTTCCTGCAGTTGACGGACTGGACAAAGCCTCTATAGCGAACTCGGATGGCCCAGCGGCAGGTTCCCAAACGCCGCCCTTCAAGAGGAAAGGGAAGCTCTCCACCATTGGTAAAATCTTTAAGCCTTGGAAGTGGAGGAAAAAGAAGACCAGTGACAAATTCAGAGAAACCTCAGCAGGTATGAGAATCATAACTTTGTCAGACGAGAAGATAAGTTGTTGAATTCGTCAACAGGTAAACAAGTGGGGCGTGCAAGTTTTTTCTGGAAAAAAAACTTAATTTGTATTTAAAATGAAATTATTTCACTTAAGGGTGTGACAACTTGGAATCCTGATCTGCCTTCTTATTTTTACCATGTTGGCTTTCTGAGATAGTCTTGTAAAAACATACTTGTAAGTTCGTCTAAAAACTCGTGTGTTGGGAGGGGCAGGTAAAATGGAAAATTAAAAGTGGAAATGTTATTTGCCAACATTGTGGCTGCAATGATGGAATCCATACACACATACACACACTCACACTCACACATACACACACCCACACACACAAACACAGACTCGATTATATATCTGCCTACTTAGTTCCAGTAGTATAATCCTATCTGTTAACTTAAAAAAAATTTTTAATGACTTTTTTAATGTGTTTGTTCTGTGGGCAAAATTTGAATGACTGTATATAAAAGAAAAATATTGCTATATTTATTAAGTTTAAATTTCCATCATGTCTTTAGGACTGGTCTCCTTCCTAGGGGAGTCATAACCCCATTGGTATGAACGTTTTTTATTGTTATTTTAATTTGTGGATGTGTTAAACCTTAAGAATTATATCCTTTAGTACCTTTCGGATGGACTCATGGAGGAAGCTCACTTTAAATCTCAGGCCAGAATTAAGCCTAACTTAAACAAGTGTCCAATATCAGTGGTATTTTGTTAATATATCTTAATGTTAAGTTCAGCTTTTTCCATGCTCATAGTCCAAAACAGTCACTTCATCAAAATTCTTCATTGCACCACAGTCTAATATTGTCAGTGTGTGTACAGGGTCACAGAGTACGTCTTACTGGTCTGCGCCGAGGTGAGAGCTGGCCTTTAGTTCTAGAGCTATGAAATAAGATAAAAAATACCACAAAGTTTCCTAAAGAAAATGGTCTCTGCTGTATGTGTAGCTATTATAATTTCTTTGAGCACTTACTACGTTAAAAGAAATTATGATACTCTACCTGGGATTTGTTTCAAAATAATCCTGGGAAAGGAGTGAGTATAGATGAAAGAAGATTGGCCACAAGTTGCTTATGGTTTAAGCTGAGTGATGGGTATGTGGGGTTTATTATTCTCATTTCTCTACTTGTAGATACTGGAAAATTTCCTTAATAAAAAGATAGAAACAGAAGAGAAACTTGGTTTAGGGGGAAATAATGATAGCTTGGTTATTGGACCCTCTTTGATTCCTAATTGGCTTCTTGGGGTAAGAGGCGGTAAGAAGTGGTGGGCAGAGTGCTGTGCCGAGTGAGGACCTCTGGGTTGTAGTAGTTTCCTTCGCACCAAGGTGTCGTGTGACCTTGAGCAAGTCAGATCAGAGTGGAGTGAGTTGAACTCTAAGGCGCTTTCAATTCGATTCTGTTGTCAGTCCTCGACTCCTTCCAGCCCCTGGGGGCACCCTCTTCTCCCCTGCTCTTCAGATGTGAAGGCACCACACTCGCCTTAACTGCCTCCTCTCGTGGTGCCCTAAGCAGTGGGAGGATCTGGCTCCTCCTGTCGCCACGGCTGCCTCGAGGGCGGAGGGCTCTGGGCAGTAGCGGGAAGGAGATACAGAGACGAGACGAGAGGATGGACATCCCTTCAGTTGCCTCTCTTGCTCTTTAGCTGAACCTGGGCTGCTGACTTCTCTCTCCCTAAAGCAGAAAAGACAGCTGCAAAGAAATGCCTCTCCATCTTACCTTGTCACCGCTTTTTAATCATTTTAACAGTAGGGAGGCTATAACATATTTCCACCTGCTCTGAATAGTCAAGAAAAGTGATTTTAAACACACAAGTGTTATTTCATGTTGTCCCATATTTACTGAGGATGGCCCGGCCATCTTTGTATTCTTTCTCCTTTTCAGATTCACACAGGATTTTATATGAGTTCAGCTCCAAGAAGTTCGTGGTGGATACTATATCCCCAGTTCGTAAAGACTACCAAACTACATTAAAAACCCAAACAAGTTACTCGATGCCTCATTGGTGTGTGTGTGTTTTCCATCAAAATTGTGACAGAATAAAAGCAAGCCACGTAGATGTGTTAACAGTTCTTTGTAAATTTGCCTCTTACATTTACTTGCACGATTTATTTTTAAACCCGCATTATTACTGATGTTTTACTTGCATTTTATAAGAGTTTATCAGGTGTCCCAATTATAAAGTATTGTATCATCACCCTAAACGTATGTTTCTTTTAAGGCTTAAATGCCTGCTGAGCTTTGTGGAATGAATAAGTAAGGCCTAAAATAAAGGGAAGCACAGCCCTGCCCAGTGTGGCTCCATCGGTTGGGCTCATCCCGTGCGCGGAAAGTTGCCAGGTGGAACCCTGGTCAGGGCCCCTGCCCAGGTTGCAGCTCAGTCCCCGGTAGGGGCCGTGCAGGAAGCAGTCTCTTGATGTTTCGCACTAACATTTGTTCCATGTTTCTCTCTCTCCCCCTCTCCCTTCCTCTCTCTCTAAAAATCAATAAAAAAATTTTAAAAATAAAATAAAGGGCAGCACAAAATGGTAGGTCATGGGTTTTTTCACATTGAGGAAGGACGTCACATCCAGAGGAAAATCGATGCGGTTGGACATAAACAAGAGAAAGGTGTTTTCTTCTAAATTATCTCAGAAACAGAGAAAACTAGCTGTCTGCATATGACCAAGGTCATGTGCTCTCTGGCAAACTATAAAGTACACCTTAGGCAACAGCCACGGTATCTTGGGATATGAAAGAAGACGAATTCCTTCCAAGAAAAGTAACTCTTCTGTGTTTTTCCGTCTCCTAAACTCCTGGCTTTATAATCTCATGGCCATGAATCTTTCTGTGGTGCACTGCGCGTTGATTAATACCACTTTTCCTGGTCTGGGTTCCTGCTGGAGGACTTTTTAATTGGCAGTCGACAGGATTTGGTGCTGAGAATCGCCCCCTTTTCCACTTACTACCCCCAGGTGCCTGCCTTTACCTTTCTCTTTCTGAGTGAGCGGGCCCTTCTCCGCCGTGGCACCACCTAATCTCTAGGTTCAATCCCTTCCCTGTCTCTAGAATGCAAAATGTCATCTACACTTTTTTCCCTACATAATCATTTGTTCCTGTTCTTCCTTTGAGGGATGGGAGGTAGACTAAGGCTCCTCTCTCTGGATCTTTAAATATGCTTTCATCCCCCCATCTAAACACACTTGTTCCTCTAACTTCTGCGTAGACTGCTACCGTCGAGACCAAGTGTCTTGAAAACCCACCCTGTACCCGCTGCTCCCACTTTCTCTCCACACTCTCATTCCCTTCCCACTGCAGCCTCCCCAGCACCCAGCGCCCCACTGAGGCTACTCCAGGCCTCCCAATCACAAAGTTAGTATTCCTGCCTCATTTTCACCCATCTCAGCCTCTCCATTTGCCGTCGCTGATTAGTTCTTCCTTGATTTCCGAGAGGTGTCACTGTCTTAGTTGTCTTTGACGTTTCTTGCTCTCTTTTGCCCCCTCTCGCCCCCTTCTCATCTCCCCTGAATCTTTGAAGGGGGGTGGCTACATGTCTTAGCACTTCTCATTCTTTGAACTTGTCCTTCCTCATCATACCCTCTCTTCTCAGTACCCACATCTCTTAAACTCAGGGTCCAGCGAAGGCCCAGACCCTTCTGCCCGAGCACCTAATGGGCAGCAATGCCTGAGGACTGCATGGTAACCAACATCCATTCATGTGGTCCGCATACATCTACACTGAAAATACGGCACATGCCAGGCCCTGCTCCGGAGCCAGGTATTCTGCAGCGAATACGCGAGCGGGGTTCCTGCTCTCATGGAGCTTTCATTCTACAGAGGTCGGGTGCTGGTAGATGCTGCGAAAGAGCACAGAGAGCGAGGGGCTAGGAGTAGAAAGGCACTATGTACAAACGCGTCCCAAACCAAGCAGGTCCCTTGCCAGCCCCGGCTATCCTGCTTTGCAGACCTGGCTTTGTTTGGCATCCAGACTTTGAACGGTGGATTTCTTTGGCTCTTCCCTGCCTGTTACTGTCTTCACACTTGGTTAGTGCCAAGAACCATTTACTGATTTCCTCCTGGTTAGGTGGTCTCTAACACCAGCCTTTCCTCTCAGTCCCCGTTGTCTGGGCCTCATCACCGCCGGCGTGGTTGCTGCAGGTGGCCCCTTTGCTGTCCTAGGTATTGGCTGCACTGGCTGTGGCAGCTGGGGGGGCCGGGAAGGCAGGGCGAGGCTGGGTTCCGGCAGGAAGCCCACGAGGGGAACCTGACTAGCTGGCGAGGCTGACAGAAGGTGCAGGATGGCACCGGCTGTCAGGAACCCCAGGGTAAGCAAGATAGCACGTTTCCAAGTCTCAGGCCAGGCAAGTAGAACGGGGGTACCCCACACCCGAATGGCACGTGTTCCCCAGCTAGGGTAGAATAACAGCATCGGGTGAGTGAGATTGGGAAATCCAGGCAGCACGTGGCAGCCAGGGCCTGCTTTACCTAAGTGGTGTACTCGTGGGCACGTGGGGCTGGGTGTAAGGAAACAGAAGGATTTAAGTAGGGCCTCCGTCTTTTTTTTTTTTTTTTT